TCAGAGGGCACAGAAAGAGGCTGCTGGTTGGGAAGAGCAGCTAAGGGTGCTCATTAGCCACAGCCTAGCAAATTCCCTGCAGAAGAGCAAGGCTCTCCAGAGGACACTACCCTTCAGGTGCCTCTGCAGCCCATGAGTGCTGGGAACTTTCTCCTGGTGTGGTGGTAGCAGCTTCATGTGTGTGATCACCCTGATGGCTGTGAATGCAATTACTGAGGCTTTTGGTGCTGACTGCAGCCTGGGAGAGGTGAGCCCCTGCTCTGAGCACTCTGCTGTTCTGTGATGTTATTAGGTTTTGATCCCTCATGAGCTCGTTAGCAATGCTGTGCTAATAGTTCCTGGCTTATCTCTCTGTGTCTGGAGCTGAGCCTGCTCTGGGGGCTGCTTGGCTTGATGGAGCACTGTCCCTTCAAGGTGCTGGACATCTCGGAGTCTGGTAGGTGCTTCCAGGCTGCCTGGGAATGGCATGAAGTCAGGAGTGCAGTTTCTGAAGCAGCAGAGGTAATTTGGGGTGTGAAGTGTAGGAGCAGGTGGGTGGGGAAGGGTCCTGGAACAACCCCTCTGCTGGGCCAGGAGGCTCAGCAGGCAAGTGTGCAGGAGGACACAGCCCTGCTGGCTGGGAACACAGGGAATGCATCCAGGGAATGCATCCAGGAGGGAGTGGGGCAGGCTCTGGAGCTGTGGTTGAGGCTGTGAAATGCAACAGGGTCGTTGTGCAAGTGGCTGTGGCTCTTTGCCATGTGGAACATGCCTTGGGTTTTCCTTTCTTCCTTCCTTCCTTCCTTCCCTGGGCTGGGCTGCAGTGCTCCCCAGGGATTCAGAGGCTGGAAGTCCCTGCAGCCTGCTGGCAGTTTACACTCTGTTGTATGTCAAGAGCATCCCAAGGCTTTTTCACCCTCACTTCATTGCAGTGCTGCTCTCTTTGGGTGGCACCAGGGGCTGGTTTCTTAGGCTCTGTTCTCTTCTTTGGGTGTGTTGTGCTTCACTGCATCACAGCACAGCAGCTAAACAAACCCTTTTCTGCTCCAGGAGGAAGCCTGGCAGTCAGACAGCAGCTGGGCCAGTTTCTGTGCTGGCTGGTGATGTGTATTTTTAAAGCCCCAACTGCCTGCCAGGTGGGCCTGCAATTTAATTTTAACTTGCTTTATGAGAACAGAAACATCTGGAACGTGGAGGCCAGAACCTTTCTGTGCATGAAAGGAGATTTCTCCTATTAGATGTGTTGAGACCAGTAGGTGAAGCCTCCTCTGGCTGAGCTTCAGGTGCTCATGGTTTTCCTGACAGTGCAGTGAGTAAAAAAGGCTGATTCAAATAGAAGTTCAAGTCCAGAAAATTTGCAGCTGGAAATAAAAACCTCGTGCAGCTTTGGGGCTCCAACCAGCCCGAGGGGACTTTGCTGCTCCTTTTTGGATTGAGAGGACATGGGGGTGAATCCTCTGATTGACTTGGGAGAGTCCCAGCAGCCAGGGTCCTGCTGGTGCAGGTGTTGAAATGCAGGTTGGCCTGACACAGCCAGGTCTGCTCCTCCCATTCCATGGAAGCTGAGACCTGTCAGGCAAAACTTGGGTCTTTTTCCCAGCACTTTTGGTCTTGTGCTGTGCTCCTGTCCCCTGGGAAGTTCTGCAGCACGTGCTAATAAACCAGCAAAACCTGTGGGGATTGTGCCTGTCCTGGGCAGGAGCAGGTTTTGCTCCTGGAAGCATCTGTTGGCCATGGGGTTGCTCCTGGATCTGTGCAGGCAGCTGGAGGTTGGGGGTGAATCAGCTGGGTAGCATCCTGCACCCTGCTGCCCTCCTGGAGCAGCCTCATGCTGAGCTACCAAGTGGCCTTAGTTCCTGGCTGGAAAGGTCTGGAAAGGCAACTAGTGTCTCCTGTGGGAAGGTTCACCAGCTGCCAGTGCCTGTCCCAGCCTCTTTTCTTCAAGTCCCATCAGTTCTGCTCTGCAGAGGACAGGGTTTCTTTGAGGTTTGACAGAAGGTGGTCTAGAAATGACTGGTTTCCATCTCCCGTGGCTCATCTGCCCGTGTTCCTACATTCTTCTTGCTGCTGTGACTCTCCTCAGAGTGCCCTGCTGATAACTCGTGTCCATTGGTGGGGACAGGCCCTTGTGGGGCAGATACCCATGGGATGCTCTGGGGAAGGAACTCCTGCATCCCAGGAAGAGCATGTTATGGCTTGTTTTGGAAGTGAGAACATAAGTTTCCACTTGTGGTGGGAGGCCAAGCTCTCTAACAACTCTTTGCTTCCTGCCTTCAGCTCTTGGTTTGAAGCTTCTCTTCCTGTGGCTGGAGGGGACCAGCTGGAGCCCCATGTTTGGCAGTGGCCTGTGGCCACGGGGAGCCATGTGGTAGCCACAGGCACCACGGGCAGGAGGATGCAGGAGGGGACACAGACACACTCTGTTTTGTATTGACCTCCCCTTCTCTGTCTCTGGAATGGTCAGCTGGAGTTTTCTCTGGCACGTGGGGAACGTCCCCTGTGCCATCACTGTGTCCTCACTTGCCACCCTTTTGGATGGACTCCCCTGGCTGCACAGGTTGGCCAAAGGGAAACCCAGAGCTGCTGCTTCTGCAGTTTGTGATGTGCTTTGAGCCAGGGGAGGGCTGGTGCAAGATGTGCTTGAGCTTCTCCAGCCTGTTGCTGTAAGGACTAGAGCAGCCACAGCTCGTGGTGCAAACCAGTGGTGCTGGCAGAGCCTCCAAGGGCCATCACCCCCCTTGGGTCCTGCACGAGCTCCTGGTCTGCAGGAGCTGCCCTTGCTGGGGGTGTGAGATGCCAAGGTGCTCACTGGGGTGAGGAGGAGACAGCAGAGCAGCAGGTGCTGGTCTCCTTCCCATCCTTCAGGTGCACCCACGGGAGCCCGTCACGCAACTCGTGCTGCAGGTGGAGGTCACACACTGCTGCTCTGCTTGGTGCCTCTTTGCTCTAGCCCTGTGGAGCACCATGCCCTGTTTGTCTGCAGGGGATGTCTTTTGGGGTTTTTTTTGTGCCCTGGATCCTAATTTTGGCCGTGGCTTCCTTTCCTTGCTGCTGGAGGGTCTTTATCTGGGGAGCACGAGCCGTGATGGTGAAGGAGGTTTCCTGTGCCACAGTGTGGGGTGGGCTGTGAGGAAGTCCCCAAGATAGGCAGAGCCTTCAGACCAAACCCCTGGCTTGCTGTGTCTGCAGGCAGGGGGGATCAGGGGCTCTGCAGCCCCTGCAGCTTGGACATGGCCTGGACAGACACTGGGAGGTCACTGGGACAGGGAGCTGTGAAACCAGCAGCTCCAGGGAGCCATCCTCCCCTTTAGACCTGAGTCATTTTGGTTGGAAAAGACCTTTGAGATCCTGAAGTCCAACCATTCAGCACCACCAAACCATGTCCCTCAGCACCACAGCTGAAGGATTTTGAAATCCCTCCAGGGATGGGGACCCCACCCCTGCCCTGGGCAGCCTGTGACAACCCTTGCCATGTAGAAACTGTTCCTCATATCCAATCTAAACCTCCCCTGAGCACAACTTGAGGCCATTTCCTCTTCTTCCATGGGAGAAGAGACCAACACCCACCTCACTACACCCTCCTTTCAGGGAGCTGTGGAGAGATCTTCCAGCTGAGCTGTGTCCCCACGAAACCAAGATCCAGACCAAAATGCTGCAGAACCAGGCGTGTGATGAGATGAGTGTCAGCACAGGGCAGCTGCTGTGCCAAAGGCCCCTGCTGGACTAGCAGCAGGGAATCTTCCTGTATTTTCCACCAGCAGCTGAATGTGGATGTGGGAAAAAATAACCCACCAGGTGCTGAGGTGTTGGTGTCCATGTGGTTTGGGACAGAGCCCTGGCTGGGATGGAAGAGCATCAGCTGAGGGGCTTTGTGTCACAGCCTGGCAGGGGCTCCTTGGAGTCAAAAGGAAAAATACAAATGTGACCCTCTTTTTCAACCTCTCTTAGCTCTTTTCCCCCCCCATAGCAAGGCTGACACACTGGGTGCCTGGTGAGGAGGGTAAGAACATGACCTTTTGTCTGTGAAGTTCACCCAGGCTTCCTTAGCAGAGAGTGAAAATGTGGTGCACGGAGCAGAAGGGAAGGTCTGTGTCTGCACTTTCTTCATAAGCTCTTTCTGCCTGTTCCTCTGGAAAATTTGCTATTTTTGACCCGATGACCCGATGAATAGTCTTGGATTTCCCCAGAGAGATCAAAAGGTGTGATTGCATTTTGACTCACAGGTCGCTCTTCGCCCCCAGTGCTGGTGCTCTGGGCTCTGCAGAGCAAAAGCCACTGTCCCAGTCCAGGCTGTGGGAGCCATGGTGGAGCACAGGGCTCACTGCTGGACACTTTGGAGTCCTCCTCAGGTCCTTTGAGCTGTGTGTTGTCCTCCCAGGCTGCTCAACTCTCATAGAAATGAGGCCCATCCTGGAAGCAGTTTCACAGGGGTGTGAAGCACCAGCCCCAGTCTTGGTCCCACGGGCAGAACTTCAGCAACAAGCCATGCAGCTCCTGGCCTCTCCCATGCTCTTCTTCCCAGGCTGGTGCTTGCAGGGACCACTCTTGGAGAGCTTTCTGCAGCATCCCTGACTGTGGGGCTTTGCTCCTCATGGTGATTCTGCTGTAAAGGGAGTTAAGACTTAGAAAAGCACCACCTGAACGTGCTTGGGTGAAGGACTTCTGTGCCTGCACTTGTCCTGGCAGGCCTGGGACCTGAAAGCAGCTTGGGGATGGACTCAGCTCCACTTTCACCAGCCCAGACTGTCTTGGCTCCCCTGGATGGTTTCCTTGTGTCCATCCCAAGTGGAGGAAGGGATGCACAGCCTTCACTGGCAGCTGTGTGTGTGCCAGGAGATCTTCCTGGTCCTCAGAGTGATTTGATGTCAGCCAGGATTAACCTGGAAGTCTCATTTCTTGGGCAAAGAAATCTCATTTCTCGGGCAAAATCATTGCTTGAGCCACCTAACCAGCTTGAAAGCCTTTGCTGAGGGGCTGTGATGGATCATGGGGGTGTTGCTGCTTGGTGGGAGGGTGGGGAGATGGAGTGGGTGGCTCAGGGGGTGAATGAAAGGGACAGCAGGTGAGGAGGATGTGCCAGGGGCAGGTGGGGACTGGAACAATTTAGATCAAGGGGCTGAATCAGAGGGAGTAGCTGAGAGCAGCATCTTGTGTGTGTCTGAGAGATTGGACAGATGTGGATTTATCTTCATTAACAATTAATGCCAGCTGGGGCTCCAGAGCCAGCAAATGGAAACTGTCTGCACCAGCTCCCTGCCAGGAGGGGGTTGCTGCTGCTCCTGGTTTTGCAGGAAAGAGCTCCTGGAGTGTTTGTGCTGCTGGCTCTGGCTTTGGAATGTGTCCTCTCCTCTTGGAGCAAAAGCCACCCCTGGCCCAGCCTGGGGGTCTGTCCAGCTGCCCCCCTGCAGGGGCAGGGCTTCCACTGGGATGAAATGACCCAGGACTGGTCTTTCCCTTGCAGTCAGAGGCCAGTGCTCATCTCCAGCCCAAACCAGTCTCTCTGGCTGAAACCTCCCTGCCCAGCCTGTGCCATGTGTGGAAAATCTTCTCCAAAGAGCAGCACATGAAACCCTTTCTGACTGCAGCAGCCTGAGTTTCAAACCCAAGTGTGGGTGGTGAGTTCACCCCCCCCGTGATGTGACACAGAGGAGTGTTGGGTTTGCTGCAGCTCAAGGCTTTGCCTTTCTTGAAGGTCATCATCTAAGGGGCAGAGACGTGGGCTGAGGCTTCTCCTGCTGCAGCCAAGGCTGTTTCACACCCACCCTGTGAAAACAGCACCTGCATGTCCTTCTGCAGGACCTCAGCACCCAGCCCTCCTTCCCTTCCCTGCTTCTGGGGCTGTTCTTGGCTAGAAGGGATGGCATCATCTCTGTTGGTGGAACCAGACTGGCTGCATCAGCACTTGCTGTGCTCTGGGCTGGCTGGTGCTCCTGCTGCTGAGAACCTGCTTAGTGCCAAAGCTGGGCTCTCAAAGTGAGCCAAAGGGTGCTGGGTACCTAGATCCTACTGGGATTTGGGGCAAACAAGGTGTGTACCTTCTCAGAGAAAGCAGCTGACCCTTCTCACCAGGGTGTGAGATCCATTGGGAAAGTGCTGTGGGTGCAGGGAAGGATTTGGGCTGGTTCCTGCAGAAGTGACAGTGGCAGCCAGAGGGTGAGCACAGGCTGTGGGTGTGATCCCCTGGGAGGGTGGTGAGAAACCTTCTGCTTGTTTTCAAGTTGTTTACAGAAGTCTTGGGGGATGTCAGAGGATGTGCACTGGCCCCAGGAGCTGTCACTGTGCCCATTGCTTTAGAAAAGGGAAATATTTACCTGTGTGTAGAAGTGAGTAGATTTGCAGGCTGCATTTATTTAATACCCTCCCTCCAGGCTGTGCTTAGTTAATGAGTCTTGTCATGGGATTTCAATTGAACCAGACCAGAGCCAGCAGGTGTGGAGAGGCTGCAGCAGAGCAGAAGGGATGGCTGGTGAAGGTTACTCCCCTCCTCTTCCTCTTCCAGTCTCTTGTGCCCCCTCAGCTTGCTGGGCAGGAGCTGGTGTGGCACCAACCTGCTGACATCTTCTGTTGAGCCACATCTGCTTTGATCTTCTCCAAGCCTCACAAATAGCAGTTTTACCATCACACCTGCTCCACATCCTCTCGCTGGTGTTGGGCTGAATTGGCCTCCAAACCCTGGCAGCACCAGAGGGGTTGCAGGAGGTGTGTGCTTGGTGCTCTGGGGATGCCCCAAAAGGGCAGGGGGCTGGAGCAGCTCTGCTCTGGGACAGGCTGGGAGAGTTGGGGTGTTCAGCCTGGAGAAGAGAAGGCTCCAGGGAGACCTTAGAGCAGCTTCCAGTGCCTGAAGGGGCTCCAGGAAAGCTGGGGAGGGACTTGGGACAAGGGCAGGGAGGGAGAGGACAAGGGGGGATGGATTAAATCTGGAAGAGGGGAGATTGGGTTAGGCATTAGGAAGGGGACAGTCCTCCCATCCCATCCTTCCACATTGGAAGGTCATCAGGTCCTTCTGCTCCTGTCACCTTCTTGTGGGAGCCCAGAGCCTTGGACACTGGGCAGATTTACAGCCCCAGCCCCTCTGTCCTCATCCTGACACCGAGTTGTCCATTCTCAGCATCACCCAGCCCTGGCTCCAGCTGAGCTGCAGCATCCCAGGGCATGGAGCATCCCCCTGGGAGCCCTGGGGGACAGAGAGGATGAGGAGAGCCTATGAGAGCTCCATCCCCCTCTTTTACCAGAGATGTTTCCTGAGCTCTCTCCTGCTGCGTTCTGCCTGGTAACATCATGCTGGTTTTATTGCCATTAGGCATCCAGGGAAACCCCCTGGGGGGCCCTGGGCAGGGCTGTGGGGTCCCTGGGCTCCATTAAGCTCCATTAGAGGCCCTGAGTCCTGTCCCAGCAGCAGTTCTGCTCCTCACTGAAGTGCTGCCCCGTGGCTTTGTGGCAGGGTGTCACTCCTGCTGTCAGGAAGATGAGGCTTGGAAAGGCTGGGATTCCTGTTTACCATCTGTTTCCATGGCCCTTCCCTAACAGACCTCCCTCCTCCTCCAGAATTCCAGGAGCTTTTCAGCAAAACTGTTTGGCTTGTGGTGGGAGGGAGGAAGTCCCAAGCCATGGAGGAGACAGTGATATTTCTTGACCTTTTCTTTTTTTCCTCTCCACGTGTACCCTGGGGACAAACCCACTGGGATGAGCCTGTGCTGGTGCTGGTGGGGTTGGTCTCTGGGTGGGTTTCCTGCCTGGAGGTTACACAGGTTTCTCTGCAGCACTTGAGATCAACTGCAGAGCCTGTGGGGGCAGCTGGTGTGACCCACAGACAAAGCAAGGCACTCACCAGCTTACTGAATGTTCCCAGAAATGCTCCTCCTGGGAACCTGCCTTTTGCTTTGCTTGGAAAACTCAGTGTGGTGGTTTTTTTGGGGGGTGGGGGCTGCAGCCCTGCCCTGTGCTGGGGCTCCCCCTCTGCTTGGGGGGAGGTTTGGGGCTGCAACGTGGTCTCCTGTGGTTGGTGCTGCCCAGAAACACTCTGGGTTGGTGTTCTCCAGAGTTAGCTGGGGCTCATCTGCTCTTTGCTTGTGACAGACAGCCCTGCAGCCCCGTTGCAGAGAGCCCTGCTGGGGCAGGAGCTCAGGCTGGAGGTTCTTGCAGAGCAGGGTGACTCTGGGGTGCCCTTTGTGGGACCTGGGAGGTCACTCAGTCGTAGGACTGGTTGGAAAAGACCTTTAAGATCAAGTCCAGCCATTCCCCCAGCCCTGCCAAGGCCACCCCTGTCCCTCAGCACCACAGCTAAATGACCCCACCTGGGCAGCCAGAGCCTGACAACCCTTTGGGGAAGAAACTGTTCCCAGGATCCAATCTCAACCTCCCCTGGGCAACTTGAGGCTGTTTCCTCTTGTCTCACTTGGGAGAAGAGACCAACCCCCACCTTGCTACCAGCTCCCTTCAGAGCCTGGCCTTCAGAAAGTAGGCTTTTTAGTGGCTTTTCAGCTCTTCATGGTCACACCTGAATGGAGGGGCTTTTCTGAGTGGAGGATGTGGGGTGGGAGGTGGGGGGGTCGGGGCTCTGTGCCCACCTTGCAGGTGAGGAGAAGGTGCCTGCCCCTCAGGCAGCAGGAGGGCAGGGCAGGCTCAGGCTCCTCACCATTTCACATCTCACCTTTGCACTTTGCAGGTGGTTTCACCCCAACATCAGTGGGATTGAGGCAGAGAAGCTCCTCCTGACCAGGGGTGTCCATGGCAGCTTTCTGGCTCGACCCAGTAAGAGCAACCCGGGAGATTTCACACTCTCTGTCAGGTAAGCAGAGGGGAGGAAGGGGAGGAAGGGGCTGTCTGCAGCTCTCCAGCACCCTGCTTGATGTACCTGCAAGGCTGCAGGGAGATGAGCTCTCTGTGGTGCCCCTGGAAGCTCCAGGGTCACTGTGTTAAAGCCACATGGTGCTTCCCTGGGTCTCTTCATCCCTGTGGATTTCACAGCCCCGTGTCCTGCCAGGGCAGGCTTGGTGCTCATGGGCTGTGTTTGCAGAGAGCATGTTCAGCCCCAGTGGGGATGAACCATCTTCCTCCAACTTCAGAGGAACCTAATGGAGCTGCCCGAGGAGGGACTTGGGTTCTGTCTCTGTAAGGGATCCCAGGAGCAGCCCCAGGAGAGAGTGACTTGCTGACCAGCCAGAACAGTGTTGTGGGCATCACCTTGACACTGGCCTGGTGTCCTCTGGGACCAAAGCAGTTCCAGAAAGGAAAGGTGCCATTTTTCCAATGTTCTTTGTGAAAGCAGCTCCATGTGATGAAGTGGAGGAGATGCAGTGGGTAGAACTTCATGAAGGGAAGAGGCAAAGAGGAGCCTTGACCCACTGAGTCCCTGAGATAGAAGGAGCAGGTTGTGGGTTCAGGATGTGAACCTTCTGTGAGTGTCACACAGCTGAGCAGAGGTTTCTCCAGGCACTTTGCAACGCAGACCTCTTCTCTGTGGTGGCTTCAGCTTCATCTAAACAACCCTGGTTTTGTTTAGGAAACTCGGGGTGAGTTTATAAACCTTTTGGCCAACACTGTGTTTGGAGACAACTCGGACAGGGTGGACAGAGCTTTTCCACCTGGCAGGGCCCTGACATCATGAGGTCCCTCCTGAGCTCTCCCACGGCTCCTCACCCTGGGGAGCAACCCAGTGGAAGGGGAGAAGTCCAGCTTTTCCTGCTGGGTGGGGAGACTTTGGGTCTGACCTCACTCCCCAGTCATCTCAGCAGCGGAGGTGAGTTCATGAGGGAAGGCAGGAAGTGTTTTTTAATTAGCCTTAATGAGGAGAGCTGTGGTGGCTGCAGGGGGGGGTACGTGTCAGTCGTGGGGAGGGGGGAGGGTTGTCTCCCTGGGAGCTCAGTGTCCCTTTTCACGTTGCTCTGTGGGTCAGGGTGTTGTGTGATGGTGAAGGGCAGCCCTGGCAGCGCCTGCTCAGCCAGGTAGGTGCAGGTTGTGGCTGTGCAGCCATGGCCTGATGTGGAAAGCTAGGCAGTTAGCAGCATCGTGACCCTGAAGCAGCAGGGTGGTTGCCAGCCCAGCACCCCTGGGGTCAGTCAGTCCCCTCCCCTGTCCCCCAGCCCTGTCCCCCAGCCCTGTCCCCCAGCCCTGTCCCTCAGCCCCAGGCCACCAGCGTTCCCGCTGCTGTGCTTTGTCCCGTGCTGCTGCCCTGCCTCCCTGCTCCCAGCACCTGCTGGGACTGAGGGGATAAAAACCTGCCCACCCATGGGACAGCTACACCTGCCTGCTGAGCCCCAGGGCACTTTCATTCTTGCTCTTATTTCTTTACCCCCCTCTGCCCTCAACCTTGAACAACCGTCCCGTTTTGGCCGTCGGATCGAGCCGATTCATGCCCTGCTGCCTGGGCAGTGCCCTGCACTCATGAAGGCACAGCAAAGGCCCTGACTTGATACCACAGTATTGAACAACCCCCCTGTTGGGCTGTCAGTGAGTGGAAAGTCTGACCAGCTCACCCAGTTCTGAGTAAACCAAAGCTGTGACACGTACCGCGTTTCCGGGAAGGCGCGTTGGACGTGACCCACCTCGGGGGCAACCTGGGGAGCTTTGAGGCATCACTGAAGGGAAGGAAACCATTCTTGTGTTGGCTGCTTTGAGCTGCAAGTCCTCCCTCCTTCCTAGCTCATCCCAGTTCCATTTCATGACCTGAAGCAATGGTTCTCCTGTAGTCTCAGGCCTGGAGGGTTTGCTTGGCCCTGGTCGCTGGTTACCCAGCAGTTCTGCTTGTGCTGCAGCTGAGACAAGTGCTCTTTTTCCACTGCTGGTGGCCCCAAAACATTTCCATAAATACTCTTGAGAACCAGACACCTAATAGAATATAAAATAAGTAGCTTTATGTGCTGTGAGGGCTGAAAACTTGGGTGGCTGTCTTCTCCCTATGGTTTCCCCCTGTCCCTCTTACATCACACACACACAAGGATGCAGCAATGTGCTGTTGTTCTCACCCACCATTGTATCTTAGAGCTTTTTTTTTATTATTACCTCTAAACTGGGCAGGTTTGTCTATTTTTTTGTCCTTTCTGAGAAGGAGAAGGTTTTCAAAAGGGACGACACAAGGACCTTCAAAAAAGTCCCTGAAATAGGAGTTTCGGTAGGAAAAAATACCTTTAGGAAAACACTCAGAACCTCTTCCTCCTTCTTTCAACCCTCCTTCAAGCTTCTTCGAGGGGTTTTGAAAGCCAGCGAGGGGAAATGCAGCTCCTTTGAATGGCAGAGAGGATGTGGGCTGAAAAGAAAGCAGGCACTGGAGCTTTGGCTGACCAGACCACACACCAAGTGACCACGTGCTGGTCTGTGTCCAGCCCTGTGTCCCTGAGGAGAGGCTAGGAAATGATATTGCAGAAGTGATGAGAAGGTTTCCATGAGGTTCTGTGGCTGCTTTCCCTTTTTTTGACCTCTGTGTGTTCTTCCAACCTTGCCCATTGCAGCAACAAGGCTTCACAGGGTCTTGGTTTCTTTTTTGCAGCTCCCAAGAGGCAACCACGTGGAGAGGACATGAAGGGATTATGTGTGTCCTGGTTTTAAAATAATAGGGGAAAACTCTTCAAAAAGGTCTCAGCTTGGAGTTCAAAGTGCTGGCAACTTGTCATTGGCCAGACCTGGCTCCTTTCATCAGCCTTTCCTCTTCTGAAATGTGCTCCTTCTTGGAATGTCTCTGCAGTTGAGCTGAAGAGCTTGTTCCACCTGGAGGACCAGACACACCTGCTGCAGTGGGTGCCAGGGGACCTGTTTCTGAGAGGTCTTTGTTCAGTGTCCTGGTGGTGCATCAGTGCCAGGTCCTGAATTTGGATTGGTTGGCTCCTCTTATTCTTTGGGTGCTTCCCCAGGGAGGGAGGTGGGCTGGCAACTCCAGCTGGAATGTCAGGATGACGGGGAGTCATTCTGAGTAAAGCTGTAGTAAAACCTTTTTGCTCTCTGCAGGTATTGTGGTGTTTCCTCAGCCCAGCCAGAGCTCTGGGTCACTTGGTGTGGGTGCTGGTCCTCGTGGCAGGGCTTGGATCCTGCAGGATCTGGGTTGCCAGTGTTTGCAAAGGGAATGGACCCCAGCACTTCAACCTTGCTTTGGAGTCCCTCCCAAAACCTGCACTGCATGGGGATGTTGGGCAGAATCCCTCAGCTCCTGAGCCTGGGATGGGCTGGGAGCTGGAGCTGGGCTGGCAGGAGAGCTGTGCAAGCTGGGATGGTGGGAGCAGAATCAGCTGCTACCTAGCAAGGGGCTTTTGGAGGATGCAAGTGGAGTTTGTTTGCTGCCTTCTGACAAGTGCCTCTTACAAGAACTATCCTTTCCCCTCCTGGGTGCTGTGTCACAGCTCATTTCCTAGAGGGACCTGCTCCTGGGTTTGCTTTTAATATCAAGCCTTCCCAATTTTAACCATATTTTTTAACTAAACAGGCCTCCCTTTGAAAGTGAGGGTTGTTAGGGGAGAAATACAGGAGGCCACACAGGAAAAGCCCCATGTTTCCACCTTCAGTGCTTCCTGGCTCTACCAGAGCATGTTTGCAGGAGACCAAGTACTTCAAATGGCTTCTGAAGAAAGGGAACAGCATCTTATAGATTTGGCAAGGCCTGAGGAAATAGCTTGAGCAGAAGGAAAAGGCATGTTGAAAATGTGCCTAAGTGGTGCTTGGCCTGTGGCCACGGC